TATTAAAAAGGTAAGTAAAATATGTTACGTATATAATTTATGTATATCTTTATTAAATAAATAAATTATACGCATCCCATTATTTATTAATGGATTATCTAATAATACTTAAGTTACCATAATATTATAAAGTAACTTAAAACATAACACGTATCAAATCTATGTATATTTTTATTATTTAAATATAAAACATATACATCAGATTGAATATTACTACCCAAGTTACCATAAAAGTAATTAATAAATTACTTTCCCTTTTATATATATTAAAAAGGTAAGTAAAATATGTTACGTGTATAATTTATGTATGGTATCAGAGCCTGACCCATCCGAAAGTGTGCCGACAAGGATTTCGGGCCTCCAAGGGGGGTGGATTGTGATGACCTTGTGGTTGGGTGTGCCGTGGGTGGGTGCGAGAGACGCTGCCAGGCTACTACACTGGCGAGTTATGGGTGCACAGTCCCACGTCGCCTAGGTAGAGGAAAGGTGAAGTGCTTATATGTAAGTGTGTCACCTCCAATTGGCATGAGGCCTTTTGGGGTGAAGCCCAAAAGTAAAACCGTGTGGGCTTAGGCCCAAAGCGGATAATATCATACCATGTAGTGGAGTGGGTCGTTACAACATCTCAGGGTCAGGCACATTGAATTATCCATATGGCTGAGAGCCCTCACAGCCCAAGCACAACGACGCAATTATCAGGGGCGCAATCTACCATTGAGCTAATAGCCCGTAGTGCGAGCCTCCCATTGGAGGCCCGCTATGCCAAAAGCCAGAGAAACCCCATCCCTATCTTTCCTTTTTTCATCCCATGTCGCCACACGGGGGACATGGGGACGTAAAAAAGGGGATCGTATCAACTTGTTCCGACCTAGGATAATAAGCTTATGAACTTGGTCTTACTTCACCGTCGAGAAACGAAAGAAAATCCCACCTTCATAAGAATAAAGCATAGGCATTTCCCCCTATCGTTAGAATTTTATAAAAGGTAACTATCTCGGTTTCATATAAAATCTTTGAAAAAGACTTTCCTTCATAAAAAAGAAAAAGGATAATTTCACTGACACCCCCAATAGTTTGGCCAAATATCAGTCTAAAACATCTTTCGAAAATAACTATCACTTAGGTCCATTTTCGTTTTTCTGTTACAGCCTCCGTTAAAAACATGGGAAAAAACATGTTTGCCCCTAATTTTTTAATCATATTTATTCCAAAGTATCAGATAACCTAATTACTATTATACCCCTATTTAAATTATACAATTAAAATGACTCTTTTCTGGGGAGTCATACACACACACACACACACACTCAACCGAAAATTGAAGACCACGTTGGTGGAGGTGGCGGTATGGTGATAGTGGTGTGTCGCCAGTGGAGGTGCTAACTCGGACCTTTGCCACCACCGAGTCTAACTCAGACGATGATGGCGACGACGAATTTCAGATGATGGACGGCGCAAGGCAGGTGATGGGTGATGGCCGTTGAGGTTGTAATTCGACATCCCGACAGTGATGGGCGACGACGAATTTCAGAATTTCCCCTTTCTCTCTCTAAAAAGCCTCCAATTTCAGAAAGGCTTTGGTGACTCGCCGGTCCGACATCAACCTCTCCCTCCCCGGCGACGCCTTCGATGTCTTCGTCTGCGCCAAGACTGCCCTCGATCTCGCCTGCCCTACCGTCATCTCCTGTGCCGACACATCGCCATCGCTGCCCGAGAGCTCGTCACCATGATGGCGCACCTGCCCCACCATCGTTTCCTTTACCTGATGCGCCGCCGTCTCCTGCGCCGAGATCCTCGCCGGTGTTGTGGTGGTGTTGTGCTTGTGTGTGTATATATATATATCAGTGTCGCCTGGATCTGTCATCCTCATCTGATTATTAGACGGACAAGGGGATGAGGAAAATTGGAATTCTGCAAATTGGAATCCTCTTATATATATATGAGGAAAATTGGAATCCTCGCCGGTGTTGGTGGTGGTCGCAGATGTTGGTGGTGGTGTTGAGAAAAATTGGAATCCTCGCTGGTGTTGGTGGTGGTTGCTGGTGTTGGTGGTGTTGTGCTTGTGTGTAATATATATCTGTGTGTGTGTAGGGGGGTAAAAATGTCATTTGAATACTTAAAAAAATAATTTAATTAGTCAAATTAAAGTCAAATGAGGATAAACATGTCATTAAGTGGGTCAAACCAAAGTCAAAGGGTAAGAATGTCTTTTTACATGTAAAAAGTGGTCTGACACACCTGTCAATTAACTTTTGGGGTGTGAGTGAAAAACGGAGCAAACGTTTGTAATGTGAGTGATAGTTATTTTCGAAAGATATTTTAGACTGATATTTGGCCAAACTACTGGGGGTGTCAGTGAAATTATCCCAAAAGAAAACACTTATTATCTTTGGGATCTGATCCTAGACCGCTGCTCAATACCTTAGTGGATCAACTCTATTACATAAGTCGATTCCTAACTTTTATCTCATATCATGACATAAGTAAGCAGTTATTATTAAAAAAAGACAGCCCATAGTATGAACTAATAACTATAGAACTAATAACCAACTCATCACTTCACATTATCTAGATCTAAAGAACCAGTCAAGATATGATATATCAATCACATCATTGTAGCAATTGAATCTTTTTTGCATAAACAAAATAAAAATCAACCTAATTCTAATGTCACAATATTTTTTTTTTATACATGCCAAAGTGATGGAAAACGAAAAATATCTTTTACGTAGTATTTTTGTCATTAAAAGATCCTTTTGGCTGGTAATTATTCCAAACAATACTATCAATTCTGCAACAAAACCACTCATGCCTGGTAATGCAAGAGAAGCCATCGAAAAGCTACTGAACATTGTGAATATTTTTGGCATTAGGATAGTTATTCCGCCCATGTCGTCGAAATAAGCAATACGTATTCTATCATAACTCATTCCTGCCAAGAAAAAAAACGCGGCACCAATAAATTCATGAGATTATTTGTAAAATGGCTCCATTGAGTCCCATATCGGTTATAGAGCCTATTCCTATAATTATGAAACCCATATGAGATACAGAAGAATAGGCTATTCTTTTTTTAAAAATTATGTTGGCTAAGGGATGTTGAAGCTGCGTAGATTATTTGCGTTGTACCTACTATGATAAACCAAGGAGAAAAAATAGAATGAGCGTGCAGTAATAATTCCATATTGATCCGAACCAATCCATATGCTCCCATGAGTGGGTCGTTTAATTTGGAAACTCCCCAATATTGTGTGAGTTTTCCATAAATAAGGGATTTGTTTCATTTTATATGTAAATCAATTCAAATTCAAATTTGTATTAATTTGAATTTAATCGCATTTTTCTTTAAATGTTTGAACCTTTAAGATTTTGACACGTGTCCATTGATGGACCCGTGTTTGTGGAATTTAATTAATCAATAAATATTTGACTTCTTGACCAATCCGACGGTGATTAAACCATCACAAATTTTCGACGTCTACATAAACAAGGTGTATTTATCATTTTTCAAAAAGAAATTACATTTTTTAACACACCACTCATTTGAAAAATTACACCACAATGACATATCTATTCATTTGAATTTAATCGCACTTTTCTTTACTTGTAGTTAGGAATTGACAAAATCAGATGAGAGATATGATTGTGTCACCGAATAACCCTAATCCCTTTGTTTATAGGGATTTTGTATACCCATACATGTTGTCCTTGGTGCAATTCAGTTATATCACACCTACATCACATAATGAATGAGGTAACAATTATGTAACACATTTATATTAAGTAATATATTTACATAATTATTGTTTTATTAATTTAAAATTGTTGCTTTAAGTATATGACAAAAATTACACTAGAGGATCACGATTCGTGAAAGCTTCCAACCTTTTGCTTTACCTTTAAAAAAAAAAAGAAAAAAACCAAGCTTTCTTGATTCTTTTTTCTTTTATTTTTTTGATAAATTTTATTTGGTTTGATTGTTTATTGGCAAGTGAAGGAAATGATCAATATAATACTACCTGCGAATTTGATTAAATAATAATAATAATTAAGTTTGGCAAATAAAGTGACAGTCACAAGAAAAATAATGAACAAATATTAGTCCATACTAAAATTTTCAGATACATACCGCATCCAGACCAAGACATATAAACAAGGTACTTGGAATTTTAGCCAACAAATAATTCCAACCGAAATTCTTCAACCTAGATTACGATACATCACAATCATATGAACTAATAAAGTTCACAAATTAAATGTACTATTAATTGGAACTTCTTAAGAAAGAAGACAACATATTTGTAATGACATCAACATTTAATACAAAAGTGCCCAAGATTTTTTCTTTCATGGGAGAGATTCACATATCAAAGCTGTTGCTTGAGAAATATAGCATGGAATCTTTTTCACCAAACTTGGATTTTGGATCATCTTGACTTGAGAAAAAAGAGACAAGGTTTTTAAGTTTTGCGCCTACTCGGATTTCAAATCTTTGGTAGAAATGTCGTAGGACTCTCCATCTTGTTCGCGATTGCTTCTCATATTCTCCCTCAACTAAACAAGTTCGAATGGAATGGTTAGAACTTAGGAGGAACGAAACACAAATTTTCATACAAATTATATGAATCACTTAGCTTAATCCATAGACATTTCCTTAAAAGAAAGGTTAAAGTTTCATGCCGCATTAATTAGGATAATGAATCAACTTCCTTAACTATTTTTTTTTTTTTTTTTTTTTTTTTTTTTTTTTTTTTTGAGAAATGATAGATCTTCCGACCTCAATTGCCGTCTCCTCCTCTGAATACAACGTGATTGAATCACGTTGTAATTCTTAAGAAAAATCCCTTAAACATTTTTTTTTTGTTCAACTCATTCCCAACTACGTTGTATACGGAGAAAGAGTCAGTAATTGAGGTCAGAAGACCTATCACTTCTCTTCTTCTTTTTTAATTCAATCCAACCATGCACAAAATAAGCAACAATGAAGTTTTCGGGAGTACCTTGTCATATTTCTTCAGGTACCGGTATCCCTGTTTAAGTACATAAATGACACATTAAGACGTGACATATAGAACATATGCATTTTTCAAGAAGATGAGTAGATGATGTTAATTGTGGACTAAGTGACTAACCTTGTCGGTTCCATAAATGTAATCACAATAAGTGAATATTGAGGCGAAGTTACTCTGACTTCGTCCCCCAACGTAATGGTGATAGTCATGGTATTCTGCTCCTCCATAGAATGGAATAAATTTTGTGGGACTCCAAGGGAAGTCATATCTGCATAATAGCAAACACCAATTTCATTCATCTTAATTCCACTAGGTAACTGAAGAATTCTAGGTAGAACAAATTAGAATTATTAGATATAATATCGCAATAAGGAGAGCTATTACAAGAGCAGTTTGATAGTGAAGAGAATATTCAAAATCTGATTTTAATGTTAAGGGCAGGATACAGCAGCCACAATGGACTTAACCTCAGAGAAAAGAGAAAAAAAATAGTGAATTACTGTATATAATAGGGTAAGGTGCAAGAAACCTCTCAACATTTGAAAAATGTGTCCTCTAATATATGTAGACTGTCAATTTTGACCAATTTTTTTTATAAAAATCCCAAAATACCCTTTTTCTGGAGGGGTATTTCTTTTTTTTTTTTTTTTTTTTAAGGCATTTTAGTATTCAGAGAAAATTTTCTTATTTGCTCAATTAGAAAAATGCAATAGTTTTTTTTTTTTTTTTTTTTTTTTTTTTTTGACACTTGACCTATTAAAATATAACATTTTGGGCGATGATCAGTAGCAAGCAATGTATTGTTGTTAAAATAACAACCTGCATTCATGAATATCTAATTAACCTTGCCTTCCAATACCCCTTTATAAAGGATGCGTATCTCAATCTTTGTTGAGTACAGAAAAATATCATTGAGAACCAAATGTCATGAATCATTGCTAATCCAATTAATTCCCTGTGATATTATGCATAAAACATATATAATCTTTCTGCAACTATTCATATCAAACTATGCAGTTTAACAAAGAAAAATTAACAAGATATGGTTTAGACGAAAAAGGTGTAGGAATATTATGCATACCCACTGTGAGTCTCGATCGCCTCGAGCTGCCGGAGAACCATCCAAAGCCAGAATGTAATCATGTGGCCGGGGACCATCAATGGACCAAGAAATGATGCAAAACCAAGTATTAAGACCTCTGACCAATGGGCATAAGGTGCTGCAAATCCAATTGGCGCAGTGTATTCATGGTGGGCTCTGTGTATATTCTCGAAACCCCATTGACAATGTAGCAACCTATGCAGCCAATAATTTGCATAGTCCTCAACAACAGCATACACCAACAATTGCCAAAACATCTCCTTCCCGGATGGCAATGGTAAACCTGTTCGAATCCCAATCAACTACAACAATCGAAACACCAATTTGGTTGCCTTTTCCAAAACATAAAAAATAAAAAAGATGTGTGTGTTAATTTGTGGCCTAATTTGTTTCCAGGGGTTTGTGGACTGAAACTCGTAATTCCTTGATTTTGATATATTAAAATCTTTCCTGAGATCTTCACCATTAACTTTAAATTTTATACTGAATCACGCAAATCTTTTTCTTTTGTGTGATGCTTTTTTCTTAATTGTGTTCTTGTTTCGTGATGTTTGTTGTAACAATATATCAAACGTGTAATCATAAAGCCCTGTTTTACTTCACATGTTCCAATTCTACAAACATTGCAATCGAAAGGGCAACTCATATGCACATACTATATATATATATATATATATATATATATATATAGACACACACAAACACAATATAAACTATGTATTAGAGGGAGAGCTTAAGGGTTTTTTTTATACCTCAATGACAGGGTAAGAAAACAGTTGGAGAGGACCGACTGCAAGAACAAATGTGAGCATGACAGCTTTATAGCATCTAAACATGTCAGAGAAGGAGTTCTTGACTTTGGGCTGAACCTTGAATTTATCAATGTTCTTGGACCGAATTAGCTCGGCGAACATGTAGGGAAGAGGAAGTATAGTGTAGAAGAAAAACAAGAAGAGAGTGTTGTGACAGTAGAGAAAATAATCTGACTTGTTTGCAGAGTATTTGAACCATACTGTCTCTGCATAACTTAGATTTCTTCCGAGAGATGTTTCGGCTTCTTCAATGCTTTGATACGGCAACATTGTAAGATCATACGTGATGAAAATATCAAAAGAAAATTATCTACATATACCTAGTTATATATATATATATATATGCATATAGAGAGAGAAAAAAGACGAAGAAGCTAAAAGAACACAGATTTTGCGAGGGCGGGCTATTGTGATTGCAGAGAGTAAGAAGATGGAGAAAATTAAGGGAAACTATTGTATGGTCCCAACCAATTTCTAAATGACAAATGAATAAAAATGGAATAAAGTTGATATAAAATTGACAAATTTGATTATGTATCAGTTAATGATTGTCTTCGACATAAAGACTAATGACCTCAGAATCATGTAATAATTTTTTAAAAATTGGTGTTATTTTGATTTTGTGTTCTTAAAATAATACTGACGGTGAAGCGTATAGAAAGGAAGCCATGGTTAAATTAAGGGTCATACATAGGCATACAGATGTATATGTGTATATTTATAGGTATGTTACATTAAAGGGTAAAGGAAATTTTTTAACAAATGTACTTAATTTTAATTTGAAAATGATATTATTATTCTCAATTCAGTTTATGAAAATCAATTATAGTAGCCAAAAAAAGTGGGCATCATTTAGTGGCCTAATTAATAGAGGGTCTAAATTCCCGAGCTAATGTGTCCCCGTATTCGAGTCTCTCTCCCTCTAATTTGTTAGGATAAAAAAAAAAATAAAGTGTATTTATCATTTTTCAAAAATAAATTACATTTTTTAACACGCTGCTTATTTGGAAAATTACACTAATTTTCTATTATCAGTTACAAATTATCTCCCATGTTTGTTTTTTATTTATCAATTCAATTTATCTATCTTAAACAATAAATCTTCAATAATTTGAGTAAAATCAATATTGTCTAATATTTTGATAAGTGATAACTAAAATCAAGAGTTTAAAATGACGAAGTGGATTGTCTTTTTGTCATTGTGGCATCTCAATTCTCAAATTAGTCTTGGCCTTTGGGGTTTAATTCCACAAGTCAATATATAGGGTAAGTGCATAAAACACTCATGGAGTATGCTTTTCGTAATATTTTTACCTCCTATTTGAAAAAAATGTGCAATAAACACCCCTAATCTTTTGACATTGTGTAAAATTACCCATCTGTCACAAATATGACATAAATTGTGTTGTAATACCCATTTTGTCCTTTTATTCTTCCGAAAATGCCCAGGGGTTTATATGCAATCATCCTCTTCACTGCAATCATCCTCTGTCGTCCCGTGCTCGCCGGTGGTTTCTTCAGAGCTCACTATCGCTGTTCAGATAGTGCTGCCAACCTCAGATCCACAATCATCGTCGAGGTTTTCCTCACCGCCGGTGACACCAACTAACAGTCGGCCGTCACGTCTGCATCACAAACGGGCCACCACTTTCGCACTAGCAGCCACGCATCGTCAGCTTCTCACAAACGCAATCATCTCTTTGCCATTGGCCACCCGAACCAGAGAAGACCAACTATAACTCGCCTTCCCTAGCAAACCCACCGCTAATCGGTTGGTCCATCTTTTTTGTTCATTGTTCAAGAACATCATCACAAGCTTGCAGTCACACCAGCTGCCGCCGGAGTTACAGCAATGGACGTCACGATCTACATGCACCAACAACAAAGGCGCATCAGATCTACTCGTACCAACAGCAGGGGCGTGTCACATTCACACGTCGCCCTCAATATCACTCACGTTCGTCTGGTCCGATGCGCTGCCATCCTCTCCGAGCACATCCATAAGTCTGCCGTCGAACCATCCTACTCCACCTTACTTCATCATCGTTGCCGACCTCGGTATGAACAAAGATACGTTTCTCTACTGCCGGAACACAGTCCATTCACCGGGAGCTCACTGTCACTGCTGGCCATGTCTATGGGGTGTGCAAAACAACGTCACTAAAGTATGTCCTTTTTGGTCTTTTTACAAAAAAAAATTTATTTTTATATATTTTATAAAATGGTTCAGTAAGGGTAATTTGGTCAATTTAGATTCTAAATGTGTTAGTAGGACCTAATTGCACCAAATTGAAACTTGAAGTGGGTTTTTTTTACACGTGAAGAGTGTGATATGCACTGTAAAGATGTGTTTTCTACGCTACAACATCACATGCGCCAAAACAACTAAAATATGATTAAATTTGATGTACAAGTAACAAACTTGTAACCAATGGGGCATATTTTCGATGAACTGATTTCTTCTCCTATTAAGATCACAGTTTGTGTATGATGAAAATGTTTTGTTTCCACCAGACAAGAAATCCATTTGAGAGTATACGGAGCCTTCCCTCCATTACTGTCCAATTGAGTGGCAGGCAGCAGGCGACGGTTACATTTCCCTTTTACTTCCAGCAGATCGACTTTCCAACTGGACCTAAAATCATTACCATTCATATGGTGTGAAGAAATCTCTCAGGAATCTTATCATGTCATATATATATATATATATATATATATATATATTACCAATTAAAATACAAACATAAATTAATTATTAAATAAATAAATAATAAAGTTATACAACTCCTCACTATTATTAAAACATAAGTTACCATTATAAATAAATAAATAATAAAAATTATACAACTCCTCACCATTGTTAAAACATAAGTTGCCAAATAAAATTCAAACAATACAAACATAAGTTTATCATTAAGTAAATAAATAATAAAATTATACAACTCCTCACCATTATTAACACATAAGTTACCAATATCTATCTATCTATCTATCTATATATATATACTATATAATTATATATCATATTATTAAAAGTGTAAAAAAAAAATAGTCTTAATTTTGATATTGTTTTGAAAATACACCTATCAATAATTGAATTCTTATTGGAAATTTTAATTAATAATTATTATTTTTATCTCTTTTACCTTGTGTCAATTTCATGTTCATTAATCATTTTAGAATTTTGCTAATTATGTTTTATAGAATAATTTCCTATTTTATTATTGTTAAGATTTTGTAAATTGTCTTCATTACAACCTAGTTTTACCTATTTATTATGAATTTTTAATAAAAGAAATCTATTTAGACAAGAAAATATATAAAAAAAGATAAATAATTTATTCCCTCTAATTACAGAATAAAATATATAAAAAGAAATAAATACATCTTAGTATAAATAAAGAAAATACTCAATCATTATATAATTTATATTCATTGACTTGTTGAATATTATTCATTACTAAAATAAGTATTAGTAAATTATAATAAATAAATAAACTAGTCTTGATTTTGATATTGTTTTAGGAATTACCTATCTATTACCCATCTATTATCAATTTTTTAATAAAAAATCTTTTAATTTGTTAATCGTAATTAATATATTAGTGCAATTATTTTTAAAAAATAATTTTAATTACTCTTTAAAAAATTAATTTTTTAATTACTTTATTGAATATTAATTTAAAATTAAATTTTAAACACGTGCGCAAGCACTGTTTTACTAGTGTGTGTGTGTGTACCTATATATATATGTATGATTGTAATGACTGCTGAATTATCAAACCCATGGTGGCTAAATTTTATATTATAAATTTCAATGCAAAAAGGCACACCATAATCACCATTGAGTTGTGCACTTGCTCCCTGCCCAATCACTATCAGTGTCCTTCAAAAATAGACTAGAGTGAGCTTCTCACGTCCCATATATGTTTTTTTTGGGTAAATATTCACACATAGAATAGCGCACAAATGCCCGCTATTAGCTATGATATCGAACTCCTCGGCTTCTTTTGAGAGAGACCAGTTGAGTTCGATTGAGCAACAGACCCACCGTAAGGTACAAGAGGTTAAACCGACTGAGTTCGATTGAGCAATAGATGAAAGGCTCCAATTCCTTTGAGAGATGAGAGATTATACCAACTGAGCTAGATTGAAAAATGAACGGCGGCAACGGATGCAAGGCTCCAAAATAGAGAAACCGATGTCACTTGGGAAACTTTTATCAGAGAGTCTACAATATGACGGGTCCCAAAAGAATTATATTATGACCACGTTTAACGTAGAAGTAATTTACTTATCCAAAAAAGAAGAAGTTTCATAATCCATCATTCGATAAAGTGACCAGATTTTGTCATGTGCAGCAAATTTAGTGTCGGCATTCATGGGAATCATCAATTTGTTTTCAGCAGCCTATCAAATTTCACACTCTAAACCCAGAAGGGAATAATAGCAGGAGTCTCATGGAAATATTTCCAGATCCAAGAATTTATAATACCAAAAATAGCCTCAATAAAGAATTCGGATTAAGAATCAAACACAATTCTGAATACATAAAATCATGTCCGGTAAAGGATTCATAATTGCAACATTTCCACTAAGTAATTTCAAACTGGATTCGTAAAGGAGTCGTGAAAACACAGAATGATCATCTCAGCAGCAATTACCATCCATATGTATTGTGAATGTTCCGAAAAGCCATTTCAACGAAAGCAGCAGGGACCACATAAGGGATGAAGAGAATCAATCTTTCCTTAGTTCCATGTACTCACGACGAATGCCATCGGCATTTAAGATGACTATTTCCAACTTGTCCCCCTGTAAAATATACATTATGAAACCAATATCATATCGTATGTGCCATTGGTTTCCAGAATTACACAGTATAAAGAAATAGCAGCTCAATGTAAACAGACTTACTAGCATTGAGTTGATAGCAAGGAAGCATAGCATATCAAGTTACCAACCACACCCATGTAATTCACTAGACATTTCCCTTAATTTTCTCAGGAAAATAATGAACAAATTTCAAATTTGCTTCTAAATGAAATTAGCTCCTCAGGATGCAATCCAAGTAAAAATAGAAACCTGCAGCATTGCATCTTGGTTTTGTGCTTTCCTTTACCCAAAAATTGGATGCAGGTACATCGGCACGTAATATGCATTTAAATACATTATACGTTCTATTATAGTGCAATATTTAATATTGTTGTTTTATAAAATATACTCGAGCATTACTTGAATCAAATGGGATGTGGTAAAAGACTCATAAATAGGAAATTCATCTTTGCCATTATATTTGAGTTTTTTTTTTTCTATCATGCCATGTAAAGGACCGGGAGTCCAACTTGGGTTCGTATCTGGAACACATATCCTATACCCATACCCATGTCGTGTCGTGTCAACATGGGTACCTGAAGAGAGATGGGAGAGATCATGTAACAGTACTTTTAGTAAGTTTTTTTCTTAATAATTTAAATTAATTAAATCATGAATTGCATACATCACTATACGTTTTGAGGACTAAAATGAAGTGAAGAACACTTAATTTTCAAAAATAAAATACATAGGTATCCCCACCGTGAAAACTAGATCTTTCCTGCCTTTACTAAGAATTTCCTTTAAGAAAATCAAGATTTAGAGGTTTTAAAATTTTTAATTTGCTCATCAAGAGACTATTTATTGTTGATTACGAAATCACCACGTGGATCCAGGAAAAGCAATAGCATGAAAACTCTAAACTCACAAGAAAATGAACTATTATTATGAAGCACAGCATCAAGTTACTCGACACAGATACATGAAGTTACTTACTGTCCTATGGATTCAACCAAGGAAATCATCAAGTGAGAGTGTGTGGGGCTTAGGGAGATGAGTGGGGAAAGAGAATAAAAGAAAGCAACACTTTCAAAGAGTTCACAATTTAAAATATGTGGAGTAGAAATATTGTTGTGTGTGTGTGTGTGTGTGTGTGTGGAATAAAGCTTTCTTCTTGTCATTCAAGAACAATCCATACATCTCCTGGTAAGAACTAGTAGACCTAAAAAGACATTTTAATGAACTTCTTGTCATTCAAGAACAATCCATACATCTCCTGCTAAGAACTAGTCAACCTAAAAAGACATTTTAATTAAATGTCAACATGCATGCTGACTACTACATTATCTGATGCAGATCTTTGAAATTTCTATTGTGGCATAAACTTCAAGTTCTAGATTTATATAAAAAAAGGAAGAAATGTGAAGAGGTGTGAAAACTTACAGTATATATATCCCTCTCTGTTGCAGATGCAAAACAGGTCTTCACCAAATCAATTGCTTCTGATTCAGAAAGTGGGGTAACAGCATCCTAAAAAAGTTATTGGATTTTAAATTAGAGACACAAAGATAAATTCTGGAAGCAGATTCACCACCAACTATTTGAAGACAAAACCAGACCTGGGCAGGCAATAAGAGGGGACTCGGAGACTTCAGCTGGTTGTCCAGAAAAGGCATGATTAGAGTGGAACCAGAACCTTGGGAACTGTATCCAACCCTCTCATAAGATCCAACAGCATCATATGTGAAGACACAACCCTTTCCTTGAGTATTTGGAAGAAATATGTGATGTTAATAACTTAATATAAACCAGATCGTTAAGACTGCACCAAAAGCTTATAATATTTACCTTCATTATCCAGGCCACCTAGAACATTGAAAGAATAATAAGGGAAAAAGCGTTTGTAGTAAAGGGTGTTTGAGAGCAGTTGACCCATGGCAGGGCAGCTCATCTGCTTGTTGTGTTGATGCTGATAGATCTGTGTTTCAAGAAGAAGAAATGATATGTTGTCACTTCCAGAAAATATTTTCATTACCTTAATCCTCAAGCAGCAAAAAGTAGTTCACTGGTCAGAAGTCATGGATGTGATTCATCATCGATTATGTGTCATTGATGTAGGAGTCTTTACATGATTCAAAGAACAAACTCTTCCCAGTTTCAATAGACCGAGTTTGATATTTTGGAAGTAGCATTCAGAGGCAGAAACATGATGTAACTTGGTATGACCTATATAATGATGACAGGATGAACCGTCCATGAAACCCCCAAAAAAAGGGAAGATGCAATGTTCAAATATTCAAGGCCATTGAATTGTAAATCATTTTTGTATTACACAATAGCTTAAGTCCACTATAATAAATTAATTTTGAATATGGCATATCAAGGTGTAAAATTTAAGGCTTGAGCCATAGTAAAGTAAGATACATGTGTATATAAATGCATATTAAATGTAATTGGATTAAAAGAAGAAGATTTTTTAACATATCAACTAAAAAGGGATAGTACGTCTGCAACTTGAGCACGTTGAGGGGTCAATGCAAGCTCAACCGAGGTATAGGAATACCAATGTAAGCTCAAGGAGCATAACCCTAAGTCACATAATTCGCCTAAGAGGGTCACGTTCCCAAGCTCAGCACGCAAATTGGCAGCTGGAAGCAGATTCGCACAAAATTCGCAAACTCACTTTTAGAGTTCGTGAATTCAATTGTTGAATCCGGGTATTGGCTGCAATCCACTGTATGTGGGTGTTGTGAGCGCAAATAATGACCAAAAACCAGTAGCAAGTGCTATGTGTTTATGATATTATTGGTACCACTAAAAAATATATCAACTTTTTCATAAATGTAATTAATGAAAACAATAATTTATAAATACCTCATTACTTTTAATATCTTATATTAAAAAAATTAAACAAAAAATAATATTTAATAAATTAAAATGATAATGCATTAAGTGGAATAAGGCCATATAAGTCAATATGCAGACGCTCTAAGAGCACTCCCGCTCTCAAATAATTTTAGATTTGACACTCTCCCGCTCCCGATCCCCCTCCCGCTTTATGTGAATTAGGCATAAACTGGGTCAAGTTGGTGGCAGATAAGATTTTTCTAGCTGAGCATGACATAGGAGTTGAAATCCATTGTGTTTTTCGTTACCTTCAACTGTCTGAATCCTGCTACTAGGGAGGCAAATACAGTAGGTCTAAGAGGTAACAAGGTGTGGTAGCGAGATGGCAAGATTTAATAGCAGTGGTGAGGGTTTTTCACTGAAGTTCCGCTTTTGTTGGTAAGGCTTCAAAACTATGGTGGCCAGGGTTTTATGAACCAAAAAATTTACTGGGTTTTTAGTGAATCACTTGGAAAAGAATAACAATGGCAACAGACTTTTAGTTAACCACTGGGAAGAAGGTGTATGACAGCGGCTAGGGCTTTATTGCTCAATTTACTCAAGAAATACATCAATGGCTCTCCTATAATTTCATTTCCCATTTTATTTGGAATAAAGTGGATGATTAAGGGTATACCGTTGATCAAACTGGACAGTCATGATAATTCATTTACAAAATAACAATTACTATAGTCAGGTCCAGGTTTGAAGATTTTAACCCAAGCCCTAGATGAATAAAGGAATAGAGTTGCCAAAGCCCAACAAAAAAAAAAAAAATAGGGTTAAGGTTAGGTTGGATTGAACCCAACCAAGTTGCGGCTCTAATTAAAAGAACATACATACATCATTTCAATTTGTATATGCATCAACTAAATCAAATAATAATAGAAATTTGTAACAATTAAAAGGCTATAATTCATATTGATTTTAACATTAACTACATTACTGTAAATATTAATGATCAGCACTGAACACAGGTTACACATTTAATTCAAGTAGCCAACCAGTGAAATCATGAAGTTGGAATGCCAAATATCCAATATAATTGAACAATATCAACTGTGGCATAGTCTAGACTATTTTGTGATATGAAACATCATCTATCAACAATCATTTGTAAATAAAGAAAGGTAAAGATCTACTTGAATTTTTTTTATTTAAAATAAATAAATAAAATAAAATAAAGGCATACTTCTCTTTAGAAAGAAAAAAAAATGTGTGCCCGACGAATGTGTATGCCTAAATAAAGGGGTCCTATAGTGTAGAATGAAGCCCTTTGGTCACCTTTTTTTCTATTTGGTGGCATAGACACATTCTGCCACGTACTTATTCAGTCACTGATCTCAAGAATATGAATTCTTGTTAGTTACAATATATATTTAAAAGAAAACTTAACATGCAAACTCCAGAACAAAAGAAGACTCTTCAAGTAGCCAACCAGTGAAATCATGAACTTGGAATGCCAAATATACAGTATAATTTAACAATATCAACTGTTGCATGGTCTAGAGTATTATGTGATATGAGACATTATATATCATTAGACTATTAAATTATCATTTGTAAATAAAGAAAGGTAAAAGATCTACTTGAATTTATTATTTTTTGAAAAAAATAATAATTTAAAATAAAGGCATACTTCTCTTTAGAAAGGAAAAAAAAAAAGTGTGCCGGCGGAATGTGTATGCCTAAATAAAGGGGTCCTATAACGTATAATGAAGCCCTTTGGTCACCTTTTTTTATATTTGGTGTCATAGACACATTCTGCCACGTACTTTATTCATCTAAAGAATATGATCTCTTGTTAGTTACAATAGATATTTAAAAGAAAACCTTAACATACAAACTCCAGCACAAAAGAAGACTTTTGAAAGTTTATAGTTAATCATCAATCTGCACATAAAACATTCCCATTGATTTCCTATGTTTCCATTCACAAAAACAAGTCCCATAAAGGGTCTACCATGACTAACTGTAAAATGATCCTTAGCTTACATTCACAAAATAGTCTCATAAAGGGTCCATCTTTCCACAGCTTTCAAGCTAAGTGATTCAAATACTTCAGAGATTTATTAGAACTCATTGAAATTTCTTCTGTTGGTAACAAATGGCTAACTTTACATGTCCAAATGAACGGCACAGCTCGTGGTAAATCTTTTTCCCCCAAGAGACAAAGGGACATCCTATTCTTTCATCAGACGAAGTGTTAGAAAGCATAGAGTTTACATGATACAGAGACTAAAAAGAGAAAATACATAGGCTAGAGCAGGGTTGAAGGAATTCCAACTTGGTGGGTGCTTGCTGATCTATACATTCAAAAGCTAAAAAGAAATGATAATTCAGAGATGCTTGGAGGGTTACTCCCCGTTATCTGTGACGGAGCCTATGAAGGGAGCAGAATAGGAGATCCTTTGATGGAAAGGGGAGTTCTATAGGGGCGGTTAAGTTCTATGTACTTATTTCTCTATTTTTTTTGGATTCATGGTTGGAACTGTAAATCAATGGAGGATCTTTTGTCTTTTGTGGATTCTTTGAGGGCACAGTTGGTTCTTTGTGTAGTTGTAATTGGGGTGCGCTCCCCTTTCTTTTAGCGCCTTTTAATGAAACTTTACTTATCAATATATATATATATATATAAATCAACAACAAAATTATATAAATCAACAACAAAAATAACATTGAAGGAGTTGATAGAATGAAAGACAAGACATATATTGCACGTCAAAGGATTTAACATAGTTCACATTCATGTTTTATGTGTTCGTAAAGCAAAAATAAAATCAGTTCAGTTATGATATTGAAACCCTCACCAAATGCCTAGCTGCCAGGACCTTTTGCAAGGCTCTGACATCAGCCTGAAATCCGGAAGAGGCCATCACACATTTGTCTGCTCTGCATGTCCACAAAAAGAAAATATAAATACCAGGCTGCACAAGATAGAAAATATTTGTTCATCGGATTAACTCCCTCCATTTTCATACATGTATAGTTTAGAGAAAGGAACCTTCCAAGAGGAAAAGCATTGAAGAATGTAATAAAAATATAATTGTAAAAAAGATTTCTTTTATCAGACAAGAGAAACTCCCCTGATTACATGATCTTTGAACTGACTAAACTCAATAGAGACAATATCTAGATCATTGATCAACCAAAAGATATTACACCGTAAACTTTTATTTACTGTCCTAAATGAGATCCATGTGTTATTCATGCATGAAGGAGAGGGCCACTTGTTATTTATTTTTTCTGTTGGTCATAACTACGCCCAACAACTATTAGTTACAGTGCAATACAAACTACTTCTAGCTACAGCTAGAGAACACCATAGTAAGTTGACGAGGTAGAGGATTGATATTTGTCTCTAGCGTTATTCTGCAGGGTGATAATCAATGGGACAAAAACATTTCTTCTTAATTTTTGTCCAAGGGTGATTTTGGGCTATACAAGATCGAGTAGCCCTCCCAAGTTATAGACCCACAACCATCATGAAGACCGGGATTCATACAGGTCTTGAGTACAATTCCCTAGAGGCTTTACCAACTAGATCACTTGCCAGGACTTAGTTTCAAATTTTCAATTATGTCCAAGGAATCAGTTCCAAAAACTGAGGGGGTGTGTGACCCAGAATAGATAACTTTGTATTAACACATAGACCATAACCAGTTATTTTATAGCTTTTCCTTTTTCCTTTTTTTTTTTTTAAAGTTCTCATTATATACTAAATCAGCTTCCGTATGAATTCCTGTACTCAGAAACATCTATTGGCAGCATCAAGTATATTAGTTCTTAAATTGTTTAGACGAATGTCACTTGAATCTTTCAATTCAGTAGCTTTTCTTTGACAAGTTAAATATTTTAATTAAATTAACATTTAGTATAAAAGAAATATTCTAATTTAACAATTTTATAACATAATTCCCATCCAGTTAAGAATCAATCAAGATCACAGAATCAAGTGCCTCAAACACGATATTTCTAAAACTCTCAATGTCTATCAAATCAGTATGATTTTACCAAAACAGCAACTTGTAGTGACATATAACTCAATTTAACACATACTAGATTACAAAAAGAAAAAGTCTAAATGAAAATAAGCAAAAAGTTAATGGACCGTACAATTTACAGATTTTGGAGTAATCGCGTGTGAGAATGTTGTATCCAGTTGACATCCGAGTGTCGGCAGCGATCACACAATAATCAGCACCTGCAATTGCAACGCAAGAACTGCACAAGAGCCCACATAAATGAATCCTCAATAGGAGAGAGAAACAACACATATATACATATATGTAGTGAGAGAGCTCACCCTCCATTATTATCGTAAGGAGACCAATTAGCTCTAGCTTGCTGTTTGGTCATGTTGATTAGATCGGAAAAACAGTGAACAAGAGAAAGATAATGAATACTAGGGCAAAACACAGACCGAACTCTCCGTTTTCTTGAGCTGTGATTTAACTTTCGTTACTTTCCTCTCTTGTGTTACATATATAATAATAATAATAATTAAATAAAAATAAAAACAAAAACTTTAGCTTTTCTCTCAAGTCTGTCGAGGAAAGATATACTCCGCATTTGACAAGGAAAAAAAATTTGATAAATACAAGAAAACGACGTCGTAATAATATTATATTGCCAAGGCAAAAAATTGATAAATACAACAAAACGACGTCGTATTATTATTTTATATATTCGCTCTAGCATACGTATCACAAGTTGTCAATTTCAACGGGAGACAAGCACGAAGACGGGTAGAGAGAGAGAGAGGGAGAGAGGAGAGAGAGATCCGGGCGGCCATGGCTGATCTGTTCGCATGGCTACTGTCCTTCTTCCTTCTCATAGCGATTCTTGGCATTCTTCTCTACCAGGTAAGAATTCTTATTATAATTTTAATTTCAGTACAGATAAATTTATCAGTGCGTAAATTTGGGATTATTTTTAATTTATTTGTCTGTACACATATGCATATGTGTGTGTCTGTGTGTGATGTCGAAATATGCCTTGAGAAGTTGATAGTTGGTAGTGCTGAGTAGAATCTTAAGAATATCTGGTTGTTTTTAAAATAAAAAATAAAAAATAAATTGGACACATTCTTGGATGCACTGTGGCCAACTTCCCTAAAGTGGAACCTTAAAAAATAAATTATCTACACATGAAACATTGAAACATATGTTTTCTTAATATTTTAAGTTCATATATACTAATGCAATGAAACACTCAGTGGTTATGATGAATAGCACCTACTAAGAAAAAATAATTTGGTTACACAACTTACGCATGAATCATTGTCAATTTTTAGATTATTATGGTATGATTTTATTTGCATTCTGGTCTTTAATTGCTTTGAATGCATCATTAGAATACAAATTTCTTCCCAAAACTCTACCCTAGAAAGTCTCAATCCACCCTAGCCTTTTCCTTATCTTCTGGCTTTTAACTTAACACCAAGAGCGTTAAAGTACTAGCTATTTAGAGTTCTACAATGTTTTTTTCTAAATTCTTGCCACCTGAACCAAGCCAATTTCTTCCTCTTTCCATCCAAAACGCTATAACCTTTTCTTAAACCTTTTAAACCCAAAGCATCCATAAATTGAGTAGTGTAAAGCACTAACCTATTAGTGATTGGGTGGAGTCAAGGTGTCCCTGGTAGGTGATGAATGGAGCAGTCCAAGGCAGGAGGTTGGATTCAATGTTTAGTCATTTATCCCTGCCCTATAAGTTTCCTAGTGTCGTGCCTCTTCTGAGGAAAAGGTTTGGAATAATCCCATGATCCTGGATTAAAACGTTGGTCAAGTATCTTCGGCATTATTGAGGCGCTGCAGCTCGGCTGGCTTGTGCATTGTCTCATTCTTTATTAATTCTTTAATTCTGTTGTCATCAAGTGGCCATCAAATTAAGCACAAAAATTATATTCTGCTTCTTAATTCCCTATAAGGGTGGAGAATCTATTTTTCTTCAAAACTAAGTTTGCCAAATTTTGACATTGGTGGTGTTATTGATCTCGTGTTATTGCCCTCGTATGAATCCTTGCCCCTTGAATTCCTTAATGTATGCTTCAAGCTTTTGTTTGTCTATGCTTCTTTTTTGTCTCCAAGGTGAATTGAACTGGGATTCACACCTTTTCTTTGCCGATTAGGTATTAATCCTTGTGAGGTAAAAACAAAAGTCAATTGTGTAGAAGGTGCTAGGAGGGAGCAACATAGCATAAAAAGAAATCTGAAGGAAGAATCAGATTGCCTACTGAAAAGGGTGAAGAATTAGATTTATTCTTTTGTGATATCAAGGCATGTCCATAATGGGAATGAAATCCATAAAAGACTCCTCAATGGATCTGTTTTTCCTTTCCTCTTCAATCTTTTTTTTTTAATTTTTTTTTTAAATGAAATTAGTTAAAACAGTGCATTCTTATGAGAACCCTAACTGCTTAGATGATTAATTTGAATGATCCATCTGAAACATTTCCATTGAACCTCTTAACTGGAATGTGCTTGAAGGGCTTTTAGCTTTTAGAATTGCTTGGATAAGGAAACTTACGACATTTCAGGACATTTCACTTATCGTTCAAGCTGGTTACTCTTCATCTCTTCCTTTCTTCTTAGGACATTTCTCTTATCGTTCATTGCACCATCAGTTAAACAACTGAACTTCACTATTTAGATTAGTATATTTTCAGCTCGTAGTTATTTTGCTTCTTGTGTTGTGACGTACCACATCACCTCATCTCCTATCCGTGTAGACGCGTTTTGAGAAAAATCGTGAGCACCGAAAGGAGATTGTGCAAAATGGACAATATCTACACGGTGTGGGTAGGTGGTGACTCGTGACAAATGGTATCGAAGCCAACCCCTAGCCGGAAATGGTGAAGCGTGCACAAGCCCATGCGGGGCTGGCCAGTGAGGATACTGGGTCCCAAGAGGTGATGATTGTTACGTCCCACATCGCCTAAGGGGAGAGGTTTGATAACACTTGTATGTGGACATCTCCTAACTGTGTAGATGCTTTTTGAGGAATATCTGCACAGGGTGCGCAGGTCGTGACAGGTTTACTTAAGTAACTGGATTGGTCTGAATGAAACATATATAGCTGAACTAAAGAACCTTTTTTTTTTTTTTCCTTCTTTCCCCCTAGTTGATACTCACACACCCCTCCTCAAAGGAATTGTTTGCACCAAAGAGGAGTTGAACCTTAGACCTAATGCTTCATGCGGCACCAAGGCCAAGTGACTAACCCATTATGTGATGAGTCCAGATGGAACTGACATGCTAACTTCCTTTTGTATTAATTATTTTCATGTTTGTAAAATGTTTATTGCAGCTCATGTGCTTGGCGGATCTTGAGTTTGATTATATCAACCCATATGATTCGGCATCTCGGATAAACAAGAGTGTTTTGCCAGAATTTGTTGTTCAAGGAACCCTATGCTTCCTCCATCTTGTAACAGGACATTGGGTTATGTTCTTATTTTGTCTCCCTTACTCGTACTACAATTTCAGACTGTGAGTTTCTTTCTCACCCTTTACTCTAAGATCTTTTGCTTGTGAGATTCCTTATACCAGGACCTCTTAGATAATGTTGAGAATCATAAACTTAAAATTAATGACAAGCGCACAAGTGTGTGTCTCAGTTGTTTTTCCTCGTTGAGGTTTTCCGCATAAAAAATCCTGGTGTCTCCCATATACTCTTACTTTTACTTTACTGTTTTTTAGTGTTGGGTTGATTGATTATGTGATAAATGACTAAAATTTGAAAAAAAAAATTAATGTCAATCAGAAGAGCAACTCACATCTTGCACTTTTCTAGCACAGTTATTCCCATGCAGAGCCTTCGGCTCACAGATTCTCCCTCATTGATACTTGTATGACATCGCAGAAAAGTTTGGGATTTTAATGCTCGAGTGTTTCCCAATGGTGCTGGTGTGACACTCATAAATTTAGTGTCATTAGATATTTAGATGGGAGGTAGAAGCCACAGAACTAGTAGAATATTGTTTTGGAAGTGGAGAGCTTATTTGTTTAGAATTCTAGAGTGAGAAAGCTATCCCATGGACTTCCATGATTTGTTTATTCTCCCTTCGTTCAACCTCTCATTTAAGTCACTGGAATGATTTAACACATTTCAAATTTAAAAGTAAAATGTTTCTTTTTTAATGAGTTGAAAATTGGACATCCAAGAGCCACCTTGAAGACCATGTTTCTGGATCTTCATCTCATATGATTTGAGGGGACTATTCATGCTAACTCCATGATCAGGTACAATCAGAAACGACATTTGGTAGATGTAACCGAGATCTTCAACCAGCTACCTTGGGAAAAGAAGCTACGGATTTTTAAGCTTGCATATCTTGTTGTCCTCCTGTGCCTTTCCATATTCTGGTATGTACTCATAAACAGCTGTAATGTGTTTTGTTAAACTCCAAGGTAAATTTGATGGAATTTGTTGTGCATTTGTTCTAGGATGATCTGGAGCATCGTGGATGATTAATCAGGCATTGGTGCTCCTATTGACCATTCCCACGGTAAGTATCAGATATCTTAAGAATGTTATTTGAAATGGAGCTCTTTGTACTCCACATGGGAAAATGTTTCCGTTCTGCTTCCCTTGGCATGTGAAATCACTTTTGCATCCTTTAATATGGAGTTGGCACCAAAGAAAAATGGAAAGAGTTTGTAGCATAGTACTCCTGCTGCAGCTGGTTGCTGTAGAACAGTGAAGGAGCAATTAAGGAAATTTTGTACAGAATTAAAATGTTGACCTATGTCGAAGTTCTAAAAATGATGTGATTTACTTCCTATGGCTTTGATTTACTTCCTATGGCTTTGGCTACATTTTAAATGGATGAAAACATTGTCATGAATAGTGGAATGAGCCTTTGTCTCGATGTATCTTTTCTTATTCCATAATAAACTGGTTTGCCTTTTTTTAATGAACCTTGTGAATGTGCTCTTTTCCGTACCTGTTGAATTGATGAAGACAGTGATGAATGTCTTCGATCAGTTGAACATATTGGTTTTGCTGGTGTTTGCTATATGTTTTTATTTTTAAAAACAAATTTCAAGAAAGATGAAGAGGAAACAATCTTGTGTTGGGCATAGATAGTGTAGTCTGTGCGTCATTTCAACTTGGGCCCCATGGAAAGTTTTTGGGAGCAACTTGTCCATTAGACTTGGGCATAAGCTAACTCTTCCAATTCGTGCGCATCTTTTCATGGATCCCAAATTTTTTTTCTTTTTTTTTTTTTAGGGGTAACGAAGAATCAAACCACCCGCCAGCCACTTTGGACTCTCAGATGGTTGCAAAATTCATGGATGTCAAAGTTGTGCAAATCAAATGTTGATCAAGTATTTTTTCTTTTATTTTTTTGGTGGTGGGCCCAATATTTGGGATATTTTGAACTGACCACTATATTAGGCTTCTTGGTGAGAACAACCATATCATGAGCAGACTTCTTGCAGAGCACCAAATTCGTGGCCATGTAAAGTGAACAAAACAATAAGAAGGAGAATACTGACTGTTTTTTAATAATTCTAGTCGTGCCGGAGAAAATGTATATTTGCCTTTATAATATCAGATTAGCCCCTGAGAATGCTAATTAGTGTTTTTGTTTTATGCTAGGTAGTTTTGAATGAGAATTTGAGATGATTACAAATTCCAGGAGAATGAATTGGGGCTGCTGTGGATCAAGCCAGATTGTGATCTGAACTGATGATTTCCCTGCATTGTTGTAATATAAGGCGTATTCTTTAGTGATGGAAAAGCCGGGTTATTTTACATAATTTCTCCTCAGTCTTCAATCCTGTGATTTATTTGTATTTGAACTGGAAGTCTTGAAGGGCCCAAGTTATGGTTTATTTCAGAGGGAAGATAATTTGGATTGGAATAAACAAATTAATCCAAACGACGAAGGGGCTCTTGCTAACTTTCATATAGTGTGTGTTCTATGCTCAATTTATTTGTACAGAAACATATAATTGCCAGGAAACTGGTTTGCCATCTTCCTACCTTTTCTTAGTTTTTTATATGTTTTCACATTATTTTTTAAATGGAATAGTTACTTTCATAAAGTTGGTATAAATTATGTTTTTTTTTTTATATATCAAGAAAGTTCATTTTCCCATCTGGTTTGAAAAGGGCGGGAAATTGCCAGTTTGAACGTGTTGAAAAACATTTTTTGAGTTGCTCTACTTGGTTCAAATGGTGTGTTTAGTGATAAATTAAACTCAATATAACCTGTATGAATCTTTAAGTGAGTTTGAAATTAGAATTTGTGCTTAACAATTAATCAATTTACCAAGATTTGAATTATTTGAAAAAAAAAAAAAACATCAATCTAGAAGTTTGTATGAAAACTTGTTGGGTGTAAGAATTTTACGAAGATTTTATCGGGTAGAAGTCTCAAGTCTTGGTCAATTTCTTGTTTATTTGTTGTCTTTACTCTTAAGAGAGTGGAAAAAAATATTTAATGACGAACAGAAGTAAACCATAATCTTGAGATAGCCTTTTAGTTTGCTTTCAAAGAAAACATTATGCATATCTGACCATTCATGGAACAAATATGTGAAGATGCACATAATGTGAATATAAATATATTAATAACATTTCAATGACTTTTAAAGTCATTTTATTAAATTTTCCTAGCACATTCTAATATCATGAATACAAATATTGCGCACTATTTTCAAATGAATACAAATATTGCGCACTATTGACATATACTGGAAAAATTTAATAAGATAGTTTTAAAAGTCATTGAAATGTTATTTATATATTTGTATTCACGTTATATGTATCTACATGTATTTGTTTAGATGCACATAACGTGAATACAAATATATAAATAACATTTCAATGACTTTTAAAGTCATCTTATTGAATTTTTCCAGTACATGTCACGTCCTATTCTCGCAAGTGCTGGAAAAATTCAATAAGATGGCAGTGCACGATATTTGTATTTATTTGAGAATAGGACGTGACACGTGCGGGAAAAATTCAATAAAATGACTTTAAAAGTCATTGAAATATTATTTATATATTTTAATCTATTTCATTTTGAAATCAATCTGATGTCAACAAATTAATAATTTTATTCATAGGTAGGAAAAAAACCCATTTCCTTGTAACTTGTATCCCATATGTCCTTGCTAACATAAAAAAATAAAATTAATTAAGTATAAATTTATTAATGATACGTTTGAAAACACTGAATCACCGTCTTAAATTTAAAACTGAAAAAAATTAATATAGAATTTAAACTAAATTTTCTTCAATTATCTCTGCAATAAAACAAAGTGATATACAATGCTATACAATGTCCGAGGTGAGGAACCAAAGTCCCCACCAAAATTTCTTTCTACACAAACGTATAAAAAGTCATTTTAAACATTTTAATCAATCAAATATCAATGATGCGTGCTGATTGAGTCTATGATGCAATATTGTGTACGTCATGCTGATACTGAATGAATTTAACAAATACATACTTTGTATATATATATGTGTGTGTGTATGTGTGTGATATTTATTATTTATATCCAACCTAACCTAATTGACTAAGGCCATTACTAGTTGGCGTCGTTGACGTTGGCACTAGCAATGGCCATGGAAACTTAGCAACAATATATTACTGGTTGGTCTGTTTCCTAACAATTTCTTTGATGGTGACATGTCCTTTATATATCATTTCACAATTTAACTACATTAACTAAATACAACTTTCCCTTTATTATTCAAACTGTCCCCGACAGCTAAAGGCCTATGAGCTTTGATTGAGTGGACTTAGAAGTGAGATTAATGAATTATACTTCTAGGAACTATGTTATATATTTTTCTACAAATACTGTATATAAATTATAATCTGTAGGATACATGCATGTATTGGGAAAAAAATAATAATAAAAATAAAGAAACCACATATTTAAGCCTTAAATACTTCTACACCTTTCATAAATTTTCATTCTAAAGAGTTTTTAAAAAAAAAACATTTTGTATGGACAAATTCAAAACGATTTCAACGCTTAACGTTGATACAGAGCTGAATTTGAATTTTAATCAACCAAATCATTTGAAAACTATATATTAATATCTCAAATATCCTCACATTTGTGTTCATGGAGTAAACAATAATAATTAATACAGCTTTTCAAAAAAAATAATAATAATTAATACAATATATCTTATTTTTTCTTTTTACTGTTAAAAATCAAACTCAAAAAGTTAATTGAGAGAGAGAGACTAGAGGAGGACATTACTGTGAGTTTGTTTCCTTAATCCAAGAGTTCGTATCTAATGAAACTGTGTAGAAGTAGAACAAAATTAAGATAACTTGATGAAAGTGATCCATTTTGTTTCTTTTTATTTTATTTATTTTTTTCAATGAACATTTTTCCCTTATAATCTCAAATGTTTGATATCATATTATGGTTTATGTTTATTAATTACAAAAGAGAACACAAAGAGAACTGATAATGGATATATCCAATCGCAGATCGATTCAAATCAATATATAAAACTGCAAAGTTTATAATTCACTCATAATTTACAAATCTTATCTACTGATACATCTTCTGACTCAGCCTAAGTTGCTTGGCTTTACAATTGTACAGGGACCTGCAAAACACAAACACATACATACATACATGCATACATATATACACACACACATATATATTTATATGTCACTTAAGCTGCTGGTAGGCAAAGCAATTTGTCGTTGAGCAACTCCTCCCTCCAATTCTTGTATGTCTTGTCTATGAATTCCTCAGTTCTCTTCTCCAAATCGTCGCCTTCCTCGTCTTCACTAGTTGCATTGTTGTCACTACCATTGTTAGCAAGCAACCAATATTCATCTTTCACCCCTTCTTCTTTATATTCTATACACACTAAACGCGGGACAAAATCATCATCATTATTAATATTAACATCATAATCTTCAGCTTTTGCTTTCTCCCCTTCATAATCTACTTCACACACTACCAAGGGTGGAAGACTTAAACACAAAGCAAAATCATCTTTATTATCGTGACCTTTTCCCATCTCTCCATATTCTATTTCACATACTACAGGTGCAAGACTAGAACACGAAGCAAAACTATCATTGTTCTTATATTCTACATATACTAAACGAGGAACAAAATCTTCCTCGTTATCATCACAATCTTCATCTTTTGCCTCCTCTCTCTCATTTTCTTCTTCATATACTAAAGGTGGGAGACTAAAACACGAAGTAAAATCTCTGGATGGCTTAAAACTCCACAAGAAGATCGCCATAGCAACAACATTAAACACGAAAAACATCACCAAGCTGCTAGATTTCATCGCGTTGACAAGCTTAGAAACAAGAAAGCCATGATCAAGTTGAGAAAGTGAGAGTGATAAAGATGAGAAAAAGGCGTTTCTACATAGCTTTAGACGCAAAAGAAGGAACACGAGTGTAGATACCACAACTATCTTCATGCCCTCTTCAAAGACTGATATGTTTTTTCTCCAATGCAGTGAAGGAATATCTACTTTGGGAGGTTGGTGTCTATATACTATATTATAGCGTTGTACTTGAAGAGGTTTATTATTAAAGAAACAAGGGGGTTTCTCAGCAAGTTACAGAAAGTCTACCTGTGGAAGTAAACAGGGTCAGAATATATTAGATATAAACTTAGTGCAACTAAATTACTTAACACTTTACATGTCATTGTATAGACAATTACATGTATTGCGTGAACATTGGTTTATATATGTCATTGTATAAACAATTGATTACATGCATTGCGTGAACACGGTAAAGTTCACATGTAGGCTACCCGGAAATTCCTAAGCTTTTCTTTGTGTCCATAGCAGGTAAAGTTCAAATGTAGGCTACCCGGAAATTCCTAAGCTTTTCTTTGTGTCCATTGCATTTAAAGACTCAAATGCAAGATCTTGAAGTATTATATCTATACTATTATTAAATGTGTAAAGTGTTTCAGTATTTCAGTATTTATTTATTTATATAAAAAAAATATTTATTAATTGATATAAAATTAATTTTTGTAAAAATAGTTTCTATAAAACTATAAAAATTACCTAATAAAATCAATCACATTATATGAAAACTCTTATTTTTAGTTATTTTTTATGGATAATTATAGTTTTTATAAAATTCTAAAAATTACCTAATAAAATCAATCACATTTTATATAAAACTCTTATTTTTAGTTATTTTTTATATCACAATATAACCGCCCTTGCCAGTTATGATTATGTCATTATCAAAAAATGACACATGTCATCATCTAATTCATCCAAGAAGCCTATAAATAGAGACATGGAGGAAGGAGAAGGGGTACAGAAATCGAAAATTCTAGAAATTCAGAATTTCAGGGTAAAATACTGAAACTCTCCCAAAGAGTTTCAGTATTTATTTATTTATATAAAAAAAAAATTGTAATTGATATAAAAAGAGTTGAATTCCAGAGTAAAATACAGAAACTCTATCAAAGAGTTTCAATATTTCAGTATTTATTTATTTATAAAAAAAAAATATTTATTAATTGATATAAAAAGAGTTTTTACTATTATTAAATGCGTAAAGAGTTTCAGTATTTATTTATTTATATAAAAAATAAATGATATAAAAAAAGTGTAAAGAGTTTCAGTATTTATTTAGTTATATAAAAAAATATTTATTAAATGATATGAAAAGAGTTTTTTAAAAAAAAAAAAACTCTATAAAACACTAAAATCTACATAATAAAATTTAAATTAACCTTTTTAATATAAGAAAATCTAATTAGACAAGAAAAATCTGACCCAAAGTTGTTCACAGCCACCGTAGCCGGAATCGGGTCACTAACACCACCACGCCATCGCCGGTAAGTTCAGTGCACCACCTGCCTGTCGAGAAGATGTTCTTTTCAGCCATCCTTGCTCATTATCTCTCTCTATCTACATATTTCTATCTCTAATATATTTCAGAAAATGCAATTGATGATGCAAATGTGAAAAGGAAAGAAAGAAATTTGGTGTCGGAAGAATAGAAAAATCAAAGAAAATGGACGTTGTATTCAAAAGGTTAAGACATTAAATTGAATAAATTAATTAAAAAGTTAAAGAAATAAAAAAAGGGAAATATTTTAAGAACTACAAGCTAAGCAACAGCAAAGGCAAACTCCGGCGAAGCAACAACGAAGGCAAGTACTGCACCTAGGCACCACCATAACCTGTAGCTTCACCACCGCCATCCTCTCTCAAATTGAAATGGGTCTCTCTTCTTGTCCCAAAAATGGTCTGCAAAAGGTTAGAGAAAGGAAAGAGAGTAAAGAAACACTTTGGGCCTTTTTGTCTTTTCAAAATTTATTGTATTCGTAATAAAATACAATATAGATATAATAAGGGTATAAAAGCAATTTGATAGAATTGTTACCGTCATCCATCCCAGGGTTCTGATAAGGGAGGTCATTGTAATTTGAAAAACAAGAGGGAAGATCAGTGTAGGTTGATGAAACCTCAGGGGAGGTCAGTGTAATTATCCCTTATTTATTTATATATAAAAATATTTATTAATTGATATAAAAAATAGTTGAATTCCAGATTAAATACCGAAACTCTGTCAAAGAGTTTCAGCATTTATTTATTAATTGATATAAAAAGAGTTTTTATCTATATTATTATTAGATGTGTAAAGAGTTTTAGTATTTATTTATTTATATAAAAAAATATTTATTAAATGATATGAAAAGTGTTTTACAAAAAAAAAAAAAAAAAAAAAGGCCTCTATAAAACACTAAAATCTACATAATAAAATTTAAATTAAGCTATTTATCTATTTATTATTATCAAATTTTTTAAATTAGCTTTTATTATGAGTTTTTCATAAAATGAAATCTAATTAGACAAATATTATGAATATAGAAAATTATTTATTAATTAATATAAAAAGAGGTTTTCAAAGACTGTTTATAAAACTCTAACACAAATTACCTATTTATCTATTTATTATTAGTTTTTTAATAAAAAAGAAATCTAATTAGACTAGAATTATTAAAATAAAAAATATTTATTAATTGATATAAAATGAGTTTTTAAAAAATTTATATTAAACTCTAACACAAATTACATATTTATTTATTTATTATAAAATATTTATTAATTAATATAAAGAGAGAAATTCAGAAGGGCATAGACCATGAATTACAGAAGCTCCGCCAAAGAGTTTCAGTATTTATTTATTTATATATAGAATACAGAATGTAGAAGTTTTGCTAAATAGTTTCAATATTTATTTATTTATTTATATAAACAAATTTTATTAAACGTGCAAGGAGTTTCAGTATTTTAGTATTTATTTATTTATATAAAAAATATTTATTAAATGATATGTAAAGAGTTTTCAACAAAAAAAAACAACAACTCTGTAAAACTCTAAAATCTACCTAATAAAAGTAAAATTAAACTATTCATCTATTTATTATTATGAATTTTTTAATAAAAGAAAAAATCTAATTTTCAGAGTAAAATACGAAAGCTCTGCCAAAGTGTTTATGATTAAAAAATTCATAATAATAAAATAAAATCTAAAGTGTTTCAGTATTTATTTATTTATATAAAAAAAATATTTATTAATTGATATAAAAAGAGTTTTTATCAATACTATTATTAAATGTGCAAAGAGTTTTAGTATTTAAATATTTATTTATATAAAAAATATTTATTAATTGATATGAAAAGTGTTTTTATAAAATAAAAAAATAATAATAATAAAAAACTCTATCAAATTCTAAAATCTATCTAATAAAATTTAAATTAACCTATTTATCTATTTATTATTATGAATTTTTTAATAATAGAAAATCTAATTAGACAATAATTATTAATATAAAAAATATTTATTAATTTATATATAAAATAAAATAATTTTTCTAAAACTCTACCACAAATTAACTTTTATTATGAGTTTCTTAATAAAATTAAATATAATTAGAAAATGATATATTTAAATAAAATAAAATAATTTTATATAACTCTATCACAAATTACATGTTTATTTTCAATAAAACTCGATCACACTAGACAAAGATATAATATTTAAAGAGTTTCTATAAAATTCTAACACAAATTACCTATTTATATATTTATTAAGAGTTTTTAATAAAAGGAAATCTAATTAGACAAATATTATTAATATAAAAAATTATTTATTAATTGATCTAAAAAGATGTTTTAAAAGTGTTTCTATAAAACTCTAACACAAATTACATATTTACCTATTTATTATGAGTTTTTTAATAAAAAGAAATCTAATTAGACAAGAATTATTAATATTAAAATATTTATTAATTGATATAAAAACAGTTTTTAAAAGAGTTTCTATTAAATTCTAACACAAATTACCTATTTATTTATTTATTATATGTTTTTTAATAAAAGAAAATCTAATTAGGAAAAACTCTACCACAAATTACATATTTATCTATTTATTTTGAGTTTTTTTAATAAAAGGAAATCTAATTAGGCAACTATTGTTAATATAAAAAATTATTTATTAATTGATATAAAAAGAGGGTTTTAAAGAGTTGCTATAAAATTTTAACACAAATTACCTATTTATTTATTTATTGAAATCTAATTAGACAAGAATTATTAATATAAAAAAAATATTTATTAATTGACATAAAAAGAGTTTTTAAAAGAGTATCTATAAAATTCTAACACATATTATCTATTTATCTATTTATTATGAGTTTTTTAATAAAAGAAAATAAAATTAAAAAAAATAAAATAATTTTTATAAAATCTACCACAAATTGACTGTTTTATTTTCTATAAATTTCTATCACATTATCTACAAAAATATTCAACACGTGCATCGTACGTGCCTTTACCTAGTATATATATATCTGTGTGTGGGAACAATGTCATGAAGCCTAGCTAGGCAGTTCATGGACCACTGAAAGAAGCCAGTTATTCAATGGATTGGCGGCAGGATAAGTAAAAGGTGAATAGATTAGAAAATATATGTAACATTAAAACCATGACATGTTGAGAAATACATATTCTTTTTATTCAATGTAGTTAGTTAGACAATCTATGAAAAAAGTAATTTTATAATTGTGTCGTGGAATATTCTTTTTGAAATGAAAAGTTCAAACCTAATAATCGATATAAAAGAAAAATGACCAATAAACATGAATGTAATAATTATTAGCTTTCTTTTGCTTTTGGAAAGTTACAAGTGCATTAGTCTAATATTTTAGGGCAAATTATATTAATTTTCCTTAAAGTTCGGACTAATTGCACAAGTAGACTGACTTTGAGTGTGAAAAGTTAATAATGTTCTTATATCATAATAGTAATATATTATATTGTATTTTACAAAAGAGAAGTGCAAAATTATCATTTTATGAATTATGGTCAATATATTTACAGAAAACACTAGAGGTTCATTGAACACCCGCAACAAATCTTGGAGCAATTAAAATTACCCGTCAATTAAACTCAAGGGAGCCCAAAGTAATTACCATGCCCACTCGGTCACTCCCAAATTGGCATTGTCTAAAAAACTGATCCGAAATAACTTAAAACATAACAATTTGAATGAGGTTTGTGGTTTGATTGAAATCAGATTTTCTTTAAAGATCTGGCTTTCCTCCATTTAAGAGGGTAAATAGACATCTTTCATTTAATCTCCAGGCATTTGCAACCCATCCAATTATGTGGGTAACAGGTATATCCTACATGAATGGACAAATGTTCTCTCTCCAAATTTTTTTTTTTAAAAAAAAACACTTTACTCTTTCCAACAAATTAAACAGTGGGATGGTGAACCGTGGGTCACTGTGAACAAGAAGTATATGATGAATACATGTTGATTTCCATGAGTTGATGAAGGTAATTTTGCAAGTCTGATAAGAGATGTTACTAAGAGCAGCATTATATACGTGCCCTTCACTTAAATCTACAATTGGAAAATGATGTTCAGACAGTCCAGGCCTTGCCCACAGGCTGGCTGGTCGTCCCTACTCACCCATGGAGATGGTACCGCAGCCACAGGATTTCTTTACCTTGACCTCTCTTCAGATATATCTCCCAGCATTGATGTCAACTATATGCCCTTGAATTAAATCTGCAACTGGAAATTTGTTTTCGTTAAAAAATAAAGAAGGAAAGAAAACTAGTTGTAACCATGAAGCAAAGGTTAGGGTTCACACTTCTATCACCTATCAAGAAAAAATATAAAGAATTCCTCCAATCTCATCCAACAAAATGTTTTAGTAGGAACTCTAAAATTCATAGCCATATCCCGGTACATGCTCGTTAAAACCTATGGTAGCACCCTATTCAGGAGGTACTCTGATTAGCATCATAACACGCAAGGATAAGCGTGCATAACATATCAAATTGTATGCCATATAATCATATGCTTCCAAATAACGACAATTCTGAGCTTTTCAAAATCAAGAAGAATCATAGCATAATTTCCACCTGATAAAAAGTATCAAACGCAAAGTATCTTAACAATTCAGATCTTGCACCTAGCAGCAGGAGGCTTGTATAATCAACCAACTATTCAGATCTCCTGCCTAATAGAGAAAAGAAAGACATAAAACCTACTAATAGATGACAAGCTGTGTAGTTCAACCTCTCCACTCACTAATAACAGTGTGTCATAATCAAGACCACAACATCAAGATAGAGTTCCCAACATAGATCTTGAAGAGGTATATCGGATTACTCACCCTGCAAGATGTGTTGATATCTATGGCTGTATTTCTGAGTCTTGCATTGTTTGCATGGAAGCACTGTGGTTGGTCTGGATGGTAGATGCAAAGTTCGGCTTTTGCTCTACCCATTTTACCATTCCATTGTATCAAAGCCCTTTTTCCCAATGTTAGAATTAGGAAGGATAGCATTAACCTGGAGAAACTAGCCACTTTATCCTCAGATTCCTGCTCTTTTGGTTTCGGCTCATGATGGCTACTTCACATAAAACTCCACACCACCACCTGAAATTAGAAGAAAATGGTCAACGAAGTGATAGACATGGTCGCATCTCAAAGTAGGGAATCTGTATAAAATGAAACACAGGAATTCTTTGGAAAACTGCAAAATCATTAGGTCAGGAAAAGATAATTTTGGCGGAAATCCCAAAACCTTGTTTTGTTGGGACATATGCCCAAAGCCCCATGTTTGTTTATTGGAATAAACATAGCCAACCTTACACTCCCCCCTCCTCCCAACCACCCACCGACCATCCCAGGGAAGGGGGAAAAAAAGGAACAGAAAGAAAATGAAAAGCAAAGGAAACAAGGAAAATAGGCCATTATTTCCACTTCTATAAAAAAATAACAGGAAGAAAGAAACTTACCTCAACAGGACTGGCAGCTATAAGTAGTCCCCTGAGCATCCCCCCATCACACAATCAATCAGGACTTGCAAAAGCAATGTTCATGCCACCAGCCTCTACTGAATCCAGATCCTCCAATCTCTGTTGGGACGAATAAACCAGATAACAAGAGAATAATAAAAATAAAAAACTTCGTAGGAAGAAGAGATCAGGGTTTCCATATATGAAAAATTGTTGAAATCATATATTTGGAGCAAATCGACAGGAGGGTTCATTTGTCAACAGCCTTTATTTCACTCTGAAAAAATCCTTTATTCAAAGTCAAACAGAACGACTTCTATAATTTACTCCAGGACTAAAGTCAAGTGCAGAATAATGCTGCCTGTCTTTCTGTTTTTTCCTACTAATTTGTATTCCTCAATAAAGCCCAAACTCAGTTTTTTGAGCCTCCTTTTCTTGAATATTACATAGAACGAATAAAAATACCAACACGTGAATATACAAGTATGCATATACAGATAGAGCTAGCACCCATCTCTAAATCCTGTTAAACTGACCTTTCCATCTTCAGCTTCTACGCATCATCCATACAAAACCAAGTGACCTATTTCCAACACCAGCTGATTCACGGCTATCATGAACTATAGAAGCAACAAGTTACCAATTTGTGGCCTGTGACCCTAAGCTTACCATAGTACTTCCAGTTTTCACAAACCAACATCAACCTCTAAAGGGTTATAACAAATTGATTTATCATTATTCATGAGTTTCATTAAATGTAAATATCCTTTTTCAGTGTAAATCATGCACAAAGGACAGAATAACACCACAGTTTTTTTAGTATATCAGCAATAGGTGGCATACAGCAAGCTGTAGAGTTTACAGAAGTTCTCGTAGAGCACCTCATATCAACTATGGAACAATCAAAAGTCAGCACCAAAATTGAATCTGAGTATACAATGTGAATCACTCAACTTTTTCCAGTATAGGAACAAACTAGGATTTGCAAAAAAATCATAGAAGAAAGTATAAGAACAAAGATAAATCAAACAAACAAGAGCAGACAAAAAAAAAAAATATATCCACCAAACAAGAACAAAGATATATAAACAAGGTTCCACCAAATAAGAATATATAAAAAAAATTCTAGGAAGTACACAATAATCAACCAAAGAGTGCTGTTTTGCTGAAGGCCATTGGCGTGCTTCTCTTACCTCACAAAACTTCGGATCAAACAACTGAAAGCAACAAAGCAAACACAGAACTTACCAAAAAAACCAAAGCAAACACAGAAACACAGCAGATGAACATCCATGACGCTTTACAAGCAGATTATGTATTGGACGCATGTTGTAACCATCCAGAAATAAACAGTATCAACTTTTGATATCCATATGGTGGACTGTTCCAACTATTGTACAATTGTTAACAGTTGATTTTTACCAAGGCTTTTGGGGAGGAGGAAAATTAATTGTGAAGAAAAAATGTCAAAGAATTGAGATATTAATCCAAACCAACCGATGCTCGTGATTATTGTCAATTCCTTGTATGTATGGTGGTGGTGGATCCTCCACTGCTTACCAGATGAGAGACATGCTCAGCAGAGGCGCTTGGTACCAAGGGTGCGATGCAAGTCATTCCCAAGTAACGATATAATGAAATAAACTTTTCAAATTACTTAAAAGAAATAAAGTTTGAAATAATTATCAGAAGACTTATGCAAAACCACCAATTTGATGGGGGGGGGGGGGGGGGGGGGGTTTCACGAATTGTACTGCTTCAGAGTTACTATACTTGTGGGGACACGAAGACAAAGCAGTTTTCTCAGGTTTTATGGTCTGAAGCATTAACTCTCCAAATTGTGGCCTAGTTGAGGTTCTAGAACCATCTTTCCACTTTTGAAAGTTGGCTTAAACATTGCACGCATTAATGCTTTATGATATAACAATTTTTTTTAAGGTGCCGTTAGAGGTTGATTTTTGACAGTCCACATGAAAACTGTAAGAGGAGAAGACTGGCATTATGGTTATGGACAATGAGAAGATTGGACATGCACGACAACAATATGGGTGCCGGATACTACTACTACTACCCTTTACTGATTTATTCATCTTTTATTGACCTTTGTCCACTGATGCAATCAAATTCTATTTTAGCATTGCTGACAGGGCCTGCTCGACCTTAAGGTGATTAAGGAGGTTGCCTAAGGTCCCAGAGGGGAGAAAGAAGGCTCCAATAGATTTTCTATGTGGGTTCCATCATAAAGTGGTTTTTGTCTATAAATTCATGTGAAATAATGTGTATATATAACTCATATGCACAAATCACTTAGAAGAATTGAAGGAGAAGATAATGAAGAACAAAAAAAAAAAGAGAAATGGAGTAAGTAATTAAAATTAATTAGTACGAGATATAGAACCAGTTATATTGATGCATGAAGGTAATGACTAGGGCCTATCCTTAATGATTTAAATGGGTAACAAATTGCAGACAATCTTTTGTTGTGTTTAGAAAGATAGTTATACTGACATCAATCTAAACATTATTAAAGAGTTGCTATATTGTAATAAGACAATCAAATAACCCATACGATAGCTAGGAATATCCATTTAAGATGACAGTATCACCATACCTAACGTTGTTGGCGGTTGTGGGTGTTGTAGATAGATTACTAAACTGATACAGAGAAAAGTAGGATTTGGTTATCAGAGAAGGTTAAAAATGACAGATCACCTATCTTCCAACTTCTTGATTTTAGGCAGCAGGAATGACAACCTCCACAACTACTAGCACAATCCAAACAATAAACAACTACTAGCACAATCCAAACAACAAACGCTTACAATTTTTGGCACGCAGACACCTTCATTACACAGGAAAAAAGATGCGTTTATACTTTATAAGAGAAAGTAAAATTATAAGTCAGTAAAACATCACTCAGTAAAACATCACAGTAGTTTAATGCATCCCACAATACAGTAAGAGGGGTGGAGAACTCAACCACCATTAGATGATGTATAATAAATAAAAGAACTCCATTCAATGAACATTAAGAAAGGAATTGCCACCAATATGCATATCTGAAGAACCAGCTTTAAATTTTGAAGGCTCATAACATGGTTAACAAATAGTAGTAATCAGAGAAGGTATGTGCAGAGAAGACCAACAGCTACACTTTACAGAGAGACACGCAATAAAGACATCCAAAAGGATGTGAGAGGCTCAAATGTTTAGTGTACACAAATATATAACTCACTTTGAACTGTGATAGATGGACGAATGTCACCTAATAAAGTCATAATTATGTAAGAGAGGCTTAACCTTACCCTACAAAATCTCACCATTCCTGAATCTACTATCACCACACTCTGTGCTGGTGTCCAACCCACATGGAGAATCATACCATTTAGGATTGTCCGCGTAGAAGCTGTCTACCTGTATACCAACAAGACCTACATCTGTCACTATAGTATCGTCATGCCTCATGGGCTTGGTTAGTTTAGAATCCCCACAATCAAGAATGCTATTCTCTTCAAACTCACGGCATTTCAACCCCTTATTGGGTTTAAAAGTCTCACCTAGCACATCCTTCTCTCTCCTACACTCTGCCCTCGTCTGAACCCAAGATGTGACATCCCCGAGACTTCGCCCAAAACTGTCTTCACCGTCTTCTATCAGTTCTGCATCTTTACTGTCATCATAAATCCTTTCATGGTGATGATCACTCAAATCTGACATATCACCCTCTCCTACCAGCACATCATCGGAATGACACGTGTCAGAAAACAACCCAACTGGCTTTGAACCATATTCTCCTATAGTTCTAAGTTTATTCACAATATCTAACAATTCGCGAGACACCGAACCCAATAGCTCATGCGGGATTTTTGCAATTCTCCCTTCAAGCAACCCCACTTCATTTCTCACTTCCTGCACTTGCTGCGAAACGGAATTCTGCATATCCCCTTTGTCCTTCCCCATTAACCCAAAACTCTCATTCTCTGCTTCCTTATTCATCCCATACACAGTTTCTTGATCCATCAACCCACCTCTATTCCCAACTACCCGATGCATAATCCGAGCATTCCCATCCAAAGGCCCTGGTTCATGCCCTGAATGCACAGCATACAACTTAAACACTGCCATCCCCTCTTCTTGAAATACAAAAGTCTTATCCTTCTCATTGTAATTTGCAATCGGCACAATTGCTCTAATCCGAAACCCACATCCACACCGCTTCGACGCATGCGGTTCCCTCTTCAAAACCCTTGATTTTTTAGATGAGGCAGGCTCCCCTGCTCTATGACAGGCATAATCCTTAACCTCCGCCATAAATGGCTTATACCTAATATACTTCTGCCTTATACACAACACCACCTTATATTTTGCAGCCAATTGTTGTAACCTATGGGGCACCTCCTTGGCCGGCACATCAAACGACTCTGTATACTCAAATCGCCGCCTTTTCATCCGGTGTCCTGACCCAGATGAGCACACAGGGCATTCGTTGACACAAACCCTGATGAAAGATTCGGGAATCCCATAAAATTTAGCACCTACAGTCCAAACCTGCTTAATTTTATCTATGGTGTCTTTCAGCCCCAAGTGTTTCAATTCACCGCCACCGTGGAAACTTATGACTATGTCCTGCCACTGATCAAAGTGCGAAACGAATTGATTCGAATTGTTCTTGAAGCACAAGAATTCGTTACCTTGTGCGTCGACGTACACATTGAGCTTGTCCTGTATCCGCTTCCACGCCGTCAGGTACGCCGTGTCCTCGTTCCGGTCCTTCCACACCAAACGCCAGCTCGCTAGCATCGATCGCGGCGTCACATCTCGGATTTCCTCCGGCGTGGCGAGGTGGCCCTCGATAATGCAGCGGATCATCAGAGCATGAGACGGGCTATTGAATGTGTAGAACTGGGTCGATATGTGGGGCCCTGGGTCCATGTACGCCGGTGGGTGAAATCTAGGGTTTTCCGGCGAAACAACGCCCCCGATTTCTGAGGCGATATTGTGGCCGGTGGTGGTGTCGTCGGCGTCGGAGGAGGTATGGCTCACTGAGTCGTCGTCGCCGTCGTCGTCTTGGAACAACACGATTTCGGAGATCGGAGGGAGAGAGAAGGGTTCTTGGTGGTGACCTAGAATCGATGGGTGTGATCCATTTTCATGGTCCATGATCTGGTGGTGGAGTGGGTCTAGATGATGATGATGGTTGAATAGATCTTCCTCTTCAGTTTTGCTTGGATTCATATCAGATTCAGAGCTGAAGTTTAGGAGGGAGAATTATTCGAGCTTCAGTGTTTCTCTCTCTCTAAAATTCCTGTCCTCTCTGGCTCTCCGTGAGCTTTGTCTCTGAAATTGGGACTCAAATTTCAAAAGGTTTTTATTTTTCTTTTCTCTCTCTACTTTTTAACTCTTTTTGTTTTTTTATTTGTTAATGATACTGTATGTTTTTATATTAGGACTTTTGGAAGTGTAGGGAACAAATAGGTCAAAAAATTTCTTCATTACGTACTAATAAGAAGTTTCCTCAATATAATGGTAAAAGTGCAAAAAATTTAACTGGACGGTCACAAATCGACATTTTACTTCCTTAGATTACAAAAATAAACAAGTCAATGCACAACTATCACAAATCGTGCAAATTAACTCCTAAAACTCAATTCCGGCTACTTTCCAGCTGACCTCAATGTAGATTTACAAAACTACCCATTGTAGTTAAGAAAAAATATATATAAAAATAAATAATAAGAGAGAAAAAGTTAGAGAGAGAAATGAAGCTCATGAATCTGCTTCTCTATCCATTATACCTCTTGTATTGAGATGAGAATAAATCATAAGAGAGAAAGTTAGAAAGGGAAATGAGGCTCTTGAATTTGCTTCTCTCTCCATTATACCTATTGCATCGAGACGAGAATATTAAACAAAAATTATAATAAAAAAGATGGCACAAAAAGTAGCATTTGCCATAATCGTCTCTTTCTCTCTTTGTTTCTCTCTCTAGAATAAAAGGAGCATTTGCCATAATCGTGATTTTAAACTAGTTTCTCATTGTTTCTTTCTCTAGAATAAAAGGAGCATTTGCCGTAATCTTAATTTTAAACTGGTTTGTCACACTTGGCTTTATTTGTATGTAATTTGTAATATATATCTGAAAAAGTTGGTTTTGTTTTTATATTTTCTGTTACATTTCTTACTATTTCCTCATCTGGTTCTGGGATACATACTATTGGTGGTTGAACAAGAAAATAACTGTGTCTTAGCTTTTATCGATCTCTAAGAGAGAGAGAGTAGATCCCACACTTTTGAGGCTGCTGAGAATTGATTAATGTCGGAAGAGAATTTTAAAGTTTATTTTTTATAGTGGGTATCTGAAAACCCAATTTGAAGATAGTCGTGCCATTTCTTGGTTGCTTTGGATTTTCCTGTCACCAGAGCTCAAAGATCCGAAGAAAGTTAACTTGGATTCAATTCTAATTCTGGGGTTTATCAAAGATTCAAAAGAACTTCAATTGTGAGCTGAAAAAAGGCTTTTCAGATTGTTTGTTTCTCTACAGTAAAATGAGAGCGGGATCAAGTATGACCCAGCAAACCCAAACGCCGAAGGCAGCGAGTATACTGAACCACTCGATCGCCGAAGCCGGCCATCGTAACCCTGGCCAAACGACATCGCTTCACGTAGCGGCAACTCTTCTGGCATCTCCATTTGGCTTCCTCCGACAAGCTTGTATTCGATCCCATCCTAATTCTTCTCACCCTCTTCAGTGCTGGGCTCTGGAGCTCTACTTCAGCATGGCCCTCGACCAACTCCCCACCGCCCAAACCACCACCTTTGCCGTGGAACCCCCAATTTCCAATGCTTTAATGGCGGTGTTGAAGCGGCACAGGCACATCAGCGGTGAGGTTGCCCTGAGTAACAACAACAGCCCCCTACACACACACACATATATATTCACATATATACATATATGTCAAAGGGCTACAACTGTAATATTTCAGGGCAATTACGGAATTAAAAGAAAATGACAGTCACATGCTGACCTTGTGGGCCGGAAAGTGGCCGGAATTGAGTTTTAAGGGTTAATTTGCACGATTTGTGATAGTTGTGTACTGACTTGTTCATTTTTGTAGTACAGGGGGGTAAAATGCCGATTTGTAATAGTTCAGGGGGTTTTTTTGCACTTTTGCCCAATATAATTAACTCTTTCTTTGTCATATACCGTACTTAAGTTTCCTCGATATAATTAACTCTTATTTTTTATTAGTACACAAGACAATAATTCCAGAAAATTCAAGAAAATTCACTGTTGATAAATACTAATACTAAGAACCTAAATCACATAAAGTAGTAAGTAATAAGTAATAAGAATTTTAACGAACGCGCACAGAGTGGGAGTGCGCATTTGGAGTGCAAGAGCGACACTTATTAAGAAATGAAAGCGGGAGAAGAGCGTGAGAGCGGCAGAATTAAGTCATAAGTAGTGAAAATCTGAATGAGAGCGCGCGAAGCGTGAGAGTGAGAACACGTTCGGAGCGTAAGAACGACACCTATTAAAAAGAATTATGACTTATGTAAAAGTAAAAAAGATGAATGTATCCAATTAAAATAATCGTTGAGTAAAAAAAATTAAAACTTTTAAGATAATCATTATATGCACTTTTATTGTCCTTTATTATTACAACATAAACCCAAACCCCTTGATTTATAAAAGTACAAAAAAAATAAAAATTGTTGATGCAAGAATCTGTACGACTCCTGCAAGACAAAAGAGAAGTGATGACCGGCGTGGCGCCAGCTGGGAGCACTCCGACGGTCAAGTTAGTACTTGACTATTCAATCTCCAATAAGGATTACATATGAAATTGATGGCGTCTCCTTTTAGGTTGACTGATCACTTCTTTTATAGAAGCATTAATGGTAGTAGTTTTTGAAGCGAGATTCTCCCCGATCCAAAATGATATCGTTTCTTTCTTATAGGAGATGGTAACTATCGTTATATATGGTAACCAAAGATTTTTTATGATTCCATAGAGATTTTGGGGAGGATAAATCCCTTACCCTTATCTCATTTCTTTTTTGAATTTGAGTTATTCCTTATCTATACCCTTTGAGTCTCCATGTGACTTGAAATTCTTATCTAGTAGAATATTTCGTATCAAAAATAAAAAGAAAGAAAGATTGAAAAGAAAAAACACAAGCCCAACCCACATTATTCATGTTATTCAAGCTGATCAGATCGGGTAGTTTAAGATTAAATTAGTGTTAGAGTTTTTTTAAGTTGAAAAAGTTAAGGTAAAAGAACAAAAAACACCTCTAAATTATATTATTGTTGCATAATTCCCCCTTGAATTATTTTTAGAAACTAGTTGCCTCCTTGAATTATACCATTGTTGTAAAATGTCCCCTTAAAGGTCACCGGAGGCTAATTTCCGACCAACAGAGATACATAATTACTAATTTACCCTTACTTATTAATTTATTATAAAAAATATAAAATAGCTAGGTATAAAATTTCAATAATGCCCTTTTAAGATATTTTTTCTTCATCTTCCCAAATGAGGCTGAATTTTGGGTCAAACAACCCGATTTCTCCATCACTGGGAACAAATTCATAGTTGTTGCCATCGCAGATGGACGAAAGGTATCAGGCACAAAGCAGACTTTGTTGTGTCAATTACTGAGTCAAACGAAAGCAACTCCTTGCCATCCTTGTGCGTGCGTGTATGCGCATGTGTTTAACGTCAAAATGAAAACCATATCATTAGTCCCTATTTATCATGACTACTTTTAAACATGAATCCTGTCTATATTTGTAATCTCAGTAGTGGTGTAGTATATTTGTAGCGTATATATTTTTTTTGGTGGAAGTAGTGGTGTTCCCCCTTTCTATTTCAGTTGGAGACCAAGCACGATCAAATCTCTATTTCAATTGGAAACCAAGCACCTTAAGCATGGAAGAATTTCGAAGAAGTTATCAAAGGACTCAGATGCACTGTCGCCGCCATAACTGACCGACACTGTCGACGAATTGCTCTCTGCCATCACTACGACCCCCAAATCAAAACCCCACAGCGGCATATTAAACCTAACTTGCAAACGCACGCTTACAGAATCCTAATCGATCTCCATCACGATCATCATTGATTGTAATCGAAATCCAACACCACCACCATGCGATACCGATTGCAAAGCCCTAATAAAACCCAACACCACCTCCATTCAATCAATTCCGAGGCCTGACGACATTCCGAGCACATTCTTGCCGACAGTTCACGCATCATGCCGTTGGGGCTTTTGGCTTTGACTGACTTGGGTTGTGCCTCTCCCCGCTCTATTGGGTCTCGTTTGGTTGGAGTTTCTCATTGAGGCTATTTTAGGTATTTCACCCATCTGATATTTAATATATTCAATACTGTAATAAATTAATAGTCGGGGGTAATATGGTAATTTTGCACTTCTATTGGTCGTGAATCCTCTGATAGCATTTAAGGGGCATTTTGCTCGTTTTTTGATAGTTGAAGGGGCCAATCTGATAGTCTTTAAGGGGCGTTTTGTTTCTTTTTGATAGTTGAAGGGGACAAATTGCATCAAAAATAATTCAGAGGAGCAAAATGCAACATGAGTATAGTTGAGGGGGGTATTTTGCTCTTCTGCCAAAGATTAAATTAGAATTACTCCCGTCATATTAATTGTCTAAATTTCATGTGAGAAATTCTTAAGTTTTTTTATTAGCTTGTTACATGCTAATTCATCTATTACATTTAACTTTTTTTAAAATTATTTTTAATAAATTCATTCAAAGCATTTTTGACCGTCTTCTCTTATCTTATACAATCTATGTCGATAGACAGGTCATCTTAAGTTATTTTTGGGCGTTTTTGGTCTTTTGGCTTCTATCATTTGACCGTAGTGTTAGTGTTACTAGACTCTGATATATAATTATATATTTCCAAACCATGTAATTGTACTCTTTTTAATTTTTTGAGTGTTACATTCAATTTTCCTCTAATACTTTCATTTGTAACTCTATCTCTTCTAGTCATTTTCCTCATTAGTATCAAATTAAGTTCGACTTACTAATTATCTTTTAAAGATAAATAAAATTTGTTTAAAAAAATAAAATAATCATGTATAAATAAATAATTATATCTCAAAGGAAAATGATTTTAAAGTTGAAGAATTGAGCACAATTCCAAGACACATACTACTTTTAATTAGTCAATAAATACCAAATATAAAAAATAAGGAGTAGATATTAGGTGCATTGAACATACCAATCACTTGATAAGCCCAACCAATAAAAATCATCACTGAATATCTTCTCAGGAGTGGAACCTTCCACTTCCCAAAAGTTGCTCATGAAACAAGTAAAAATGAACTACAACAAAAGAGAAGCAGGGCAGATTTTTTTTTTTAGCATTAAGTAGTAA